CGGCCGTGGGTGTGGGGAGCCCGGGGGCTGGTGCCTGCCTGCGCGGGCAGCTGCCCGCCTCCCCTGCCGCCCGCGCCCTCTGCCCGCTCAGTCACCGCAGCGGTCGCTCTGAGGAAATTAATTAATTTCACAATCTGGATTTTGATAGGATTTTTTTAAACGTTGGCTCATGGTGTGGCCGAGCCCGCCGGGGCCGGGTCTGTTCGGCGCCTTGCATGGCCTGGGCCGCCTCCCGGGTGAAACCGAAACGGGGCTCGCCGGGGGTACGGCCAGCACCTTTCCTAGCAGCTAGCCACGCTGCTTGGCCGTCGTGTCCCAATGACAGCAGTCACTCATTCGGCCAACTTGAGGGAGAAGTTGGTTTGCTCGATTGCCACAGGAGCGGGCAGGCTTGCCCGCACCAGCCCTCGTGCGGGGCCCGCTGCCGCCGTCCCGCTGACCCCTCGGCATTGCCCCGTGTCCAGTTCGCAGCAACAGTGGCAAAAAAGATGCGCGTCGGCGTAGCTCTTGCATGCTGGGATGGCAAAGTGACTCGTGTGCCTTGATGAAGTTGGGAGTTTTTTCTTGATAATGCAAGTTCTGAACCAAAACCCTGCAAGTGGTTTCAAGCTGCTTCTGTAGTAGGATAAAAGGCTTGTTCTAGACTTTTTATCTAGTTTGCAAGAAAATGTAACTCTAAGGCGTTTTTTTAAGTGCTCAGTTGGTCCCTCCTTAAGTTTTCTGATGCGCTTTTCCCTGACCGTCAACACAATCACCTTTCCTGGCCGGGGCTGCTCTTGAGGGCTCCTCTTCGGTGGGGTGGTCGCAGCCAGAGCTAGCCATGCGATGCGAAGCTCCTCTTCCACGAACCGCGCTCCCGCAGGAAGTGGGTAACGAGAGCTAAAGAGACCAGTTTCTGCAGGGGGCTGGGTCCCAGCAGCCATTGGAAATCTGCGTGCGACTTAGGTAAATTAAAGTTTGAGATAGTGGGTTGGGGGCTCTGATACCAGTCTCAGGGATTGCCGGAGTTTGAAGGAGTTACTTTCCTGTTCTACTTTGAAAAAATATGAGTAAGTGTTCTTATACCTGCCTAATTTTAATACCACAGGGAAACAATTAAACTCTTGTAAAACCTGTGCTGGCTTGAAAGTGCCAGATCAAGGCTCCTGGTTTAGGCTTGTCCTAAGTTATTAGTGTGGGTGAAAGCTCAGGGCTGAGGGCTCAGACAGAGTGGCCGCAGCTGCAGACTGGGCTCTGCCAGGTGCTTCTTGGTACTCCAGAATGTGACTGTTCTGCATGTTAATGTGTTTTATAAATCGCATTAATGAAAATCCTGCGAGTGTGTGGGTGTGTGAAATGCAGAGAAATTCCCTGATTCTGCAGAAGTGGGCTGTTAGGAACCTGCAAACTTAGTTTAAAGCAGTAGGCAGGTACACCGAGGAATAAGATACACAGTGTCCTTAGCTGGTAGTGCAAGCCTGATGGCAGGTTTCCTACCGCAGCTCGTTATAGAACTCATGATTTTTTTTTTTTTTGACAAAAAAAAACCAAACAGCAGCAGCAATGGAAGTTTTTTTTCTTCCAGTCTTACCAAGTGGTAGAGCTGAAACGATGGATCGAGGCTGACCCTTGCCGCGGCAGCGCAGTCGGAGGTGGTGATATGGTTCAGGTGGCACTCGGGACCTCGGTTCCAGGTCTCGGATCTGTGAAACAGTGGGCAAACAGCAGTTTGCTGGGATACAGCGTTTTGATAGTGTAATTGCTTTATTTGTTTCATCAGTCATAGAGAACAGTAGGAATGCTTCACATATGACGTGGTTTTCAGGGTGACTTGTGATCTAAATTAGCTGAATATAGACTTTTTCCCCCCGTTTTTCTCTTGGCGTGCGCAAGTTCCATTCTGTTTTTAGTCCCGCTCTCGGGACATCAGAATGGTGCCTCTGTCTGCTCTGCCCCGATGCCTGAACTGCCTTGGACAGCTGTCAAACCAGCTTCGACAGAAGTTCTCAAAAATAGCAAGTTCTCCAGATGTTTGTGAAAATAGGCCAGGAGAAGACAAGGAACTCTAGTTATACCCCAGCTGAGGGGAGAAAGAGCTTTTATTGGAAACTGGAGAATCTCTGCTAGGAAGAGGTGCTGGATCCATAAATCCTGTCCCTGCAGGAGCTGGGCTGTCTGGTATCCTCTTCATCTTTCTCCTGGCATGCGTATGGTATACAAAAACATGAGCTAAACTGCCATGTTGGCTGCACGTTAACAGCATCTGTTCCTTTTTTGATTTTATTAAATGACGTTTCCCTTGTTAAATTTGGGTTCAAAATCTCTAGCCTTGGAACTGTGCCTTTAAATAAATAAAGCCAGATCCTGTACTGACTTACTGCCTTTCTCCTTCCTCTTTTTCCATGTGATTTATAGTAGTGTTTCTAATGGGCTCTCTTCAGAGCTGAACCTCCTTACAGTTCTACTTCAGCTCAACAGTGAACTACAAAAACTCTTCTGACACAGTCCGTGGGGTGATAGTCACCTGCGTTAACTCCCGGGATGGGGCCTGCTGGGGATGTGCTGCAAGGTTGCCTACAGGAGAAAAGGACAGTGGGCAGCCCTGTGTAGTACTGGGAGAAAATTATTGCAGCCTGTAGTTTACTCTGAGCCCACATCTAAGGCAGCAGTGAGTTATTAGGCCACCAATTGAATAATTTTTTTTTTTAATTTTTTTTTTTTTTCTGGTGAGGTGTAGGTCGCCTTGCTCATCTTACATGTTCCCTGTAAGGAGATCTGTGTTGCTTGATGGATGCTGTGCTTTTGCTGGATTTTAGCCCAAATGCCCTTAGCATCATCTGAGGACAAACTTTCTGAACTATGATTAGATACTGGCTTTTGAGATCTTGGAAGGGTGTTAGTGGATTCCCAGCAAAACTCAGGCAATGAGCTATTACTTGGAGCCTTAAACAGCCATCTTTTGGGGCCACGTAAACGATTAAGAAGTAACTCTGATGTTGATGCAGTTATCTGTGAAAGCGTTCCTCCGATTGTTGTGGAAAATGATGCTATACTTAGGAAGAGTGAAGAAGCAGGGATGGCTCAGTGAAGGGTTTTGCCAGCTCGTGAGCCGAGTGCTCGCATCTGGGTGACTGCAGCACAGAGGCTTGTCCGGTTCATCCTTGTGACGAAGGGGTATGTATCACTGTCCTGCTTTTGCTGAGGAGAACCAAGGAAGGTGCAGGTTCATTTGAGATACAGACCTACTTATGCCGCCTTATGAAATGTTTCTCAAACTACTCCCAATGTAACTTTGAGCTCTTTTTGTTTTCGCATGCATGTCTCCCCCTCAGCTGTGGCTTGGGCCCAGCTAACTACACCTGACTGCTCAAAGCAGCTCAGTGCCTTCAGGGTAGGGTGCTGAAAACAAGATTTATTTACTAGCTATAGATGTAAATGCTTGGCCATTAGTCCAGCTGAGCTAATGCCAATGATAGCTTGGTTTTAGTATTTTTTACTGTAAAGTGTAAAAGCTGCTTTCACAGAGTTGTACTACTTTCTTCTTACTCATTCTGCAGGTTCTTCGGGGTGGTTTGCAGGTTGGGAAATGCTAGGGTACGATGTGTGGGTAGCACTGCTGGCAGGTGGGACCCATCCGTGCAAGGGCCGGCTGTGCACCCGTGGCTTGCCCGGGGGTCTGGAGGGGACCGCTTGTGTCCCACCCTGGTCTCTTGCAGGTGGAAGTGGACAATCTCGGACGCTAAGCTGAGAAGGCTGCAGAGCTCTGTCCCTTCATGGTACAAGCTACAGCACATGCTCTGAAACAATTAAAGGCTTTTAATAAGAAATAGGACTGCAAGGAGTAGTGTTTGCCACAAGATGGGATCAGGAAAGAATAAGGACGTTGGTCTTTCTCACAAGAACTGCTAATTTAGAAATTGCTAGGTGAAAATGCCCAGAATTACTCTAAAAGTGATTCCCTCCCTTCCACTGGAAGGGAAGACAGTTCTGGTGACCTCTCTCCATCTGACCAGGGGGTTTGAAGGGGCATTTGCTGCTGAAGTCTGCTCTCTTCCAACTTGTGCCCTTTTTGTTGTGTAACCCAAGACTGAAAAGTCATTAAGAGCTCCCCAGCAGGCACACTC